TGCACCCCGACGGGGAGGACGGGGACACGGACGCCTGCAGGTGCACCCCGACGGGGAGGACGGGGACACGGACGCCTGCAGGTGCACCCCGACGGGGAGGACGGGGACACGGACGCCTGCAGGTGCACCCCGATGGGGAGGACGGGGACACGGATGCCTGCAGGTGCACCCCGGCGGGGAGGACGGGGACACGGACGCCTGCAGATGCAGCCCGACGGGGAGGACGGGGACACAGACGCCTCCAGATGCACCCCGACAGGGAATATGGGTGCCTGTTCTCCCTCTGTTGTCCCAGACACAGCTTGGCCAACAGCTTCCGTGTCCTGCAGTTTCCCACACACCACTTTTACACCAGGATGAGTTCACCCAGGGCTGGTGTAGGTCAGGGGCTGATGCCCGGGGCATCCACAGCCTTCATGCAGAAACCCCCTGCTTCCGGCAAAATGACTGAGATGCTGGTGGGCGCCAGGAGGGGCCCCAGGAAGACCCTCAGGGAAGGGATTTCCTAGGTCTGTAGAGCCCCAAGGCCAGTGTGCAGAACCCACAGTGGGCAGGCCCCAAACCGAGGGTCTCCCGCGTCTCGGCACTTACCCGACCTCCCTCGTCAAAGGGGCCCACGTGGGAAAACCACGCACGAGAGCAGAACCAGGTGGGCATGATCACCGTCGGGCCATTCGAGGTGAAAACCTAGAAGAAATTAACATTGACAGTCAGCAGAAAGAACAATGTACCATAAACGTTTAGCCTACAGTTTATTTCCACAGTGTCACGAGAAAGTGACAGATGAATCCATGTCCCTTCTCCACGGGGACGGGGGCTCAGGGGGCTTCACAATGGGGCTGACGTGTCTGGGCCCATGGCTGACTGATGGGGGGGGCAGTGGCCAAACCCAGCCCCTCCTGAGCTCACTGGCAAGCCTCACAAAAGGACTCCTCTCTGCTTCTGATAGGTGGTAAAGCTGTCTGTGAAAACCCAAAATAAACATGCTACTTTCAATCAGGAGAAAAACATGAAATAGCGTAAAATGACGTAGAGAATGATGAGATAGCAGATGAAACACATGAGTCCTGAAAGGATGTAAACCAAGAAAACCGACTCAGAAAGAAACAAAATACGAATCACTTCCGGACAAGCAGGAGGTAAGAGAAGACCCCACAAGGAAAAGCCCAGCAGCAGACCACGTCCCTGCTGATTCTGCCAAATGTTCAAAGAATTAACTAATGCCAATCCTTCAAACTCTCCCAAAAAGTGCAAGAGGAGGGAACACTTCCCAGCCCATTCTGAGACCACCACTACCCTGATACCAAAGCCAGACAAAAATATTACAAGAAAACAGCACGCGGACACCCTTTACGAACGCGGACAACGGCGCGCGGACGCCCTTTACGAACGCGGACAACGGCGCGCGGACGCCCTTTACGAACATCGATGCAAACAAAAATGTTCTAGCTGGAGCAGCTTGGCAAGAAAACAAAACAGACGGTATCCAGCTAGGAAAGGAGGCAGTCACACTGTCTGTGTGCAGACGGCCTGCTCCTGTGAGCAGAAAACCGAGTGATACAGATACATGCACACACACACTCACAGACACACAGACACACATGCACTCACACACACGTACTCACAGACACAGACACGCATGCACTCACACGCACATGCACTCAGACACACAGACACATGCACTCACACGCACATGCACACACACACATGCACTCACACACGTACTCACACACATGCACACACACACATGCAGACACAGACATGCATGCACTCACACACATGCACACACAGACACGCATGCACTCACATGCACACAGACATGCATGCACTCACATGCACATGCACTCACACGCACATGCACACATGCACTCACACATGCACTCAGACATGCGCACACATGCACTCACACTCAGATGCACTCACACACATGCACTCACACTCAGATGCACTCACACACACATGCACTCACAGGCACTCACATGCACTCACACACATGCACACATGCAGTCACACATGCACTCACTCAAATGCACTCACAGACATGCACACACGCACACGCGCACACATGCACTCACTCAGGTGCACTCACACATGCACTCACACGTGCACACATGCACTCACACATGCACTCACATGCACTCACATGCACACATGCACTCACATGCACTCAAATGCACTCACACATGCATTCACAGACATGCACACAGATGCACACGTGCACTCACACTCAGATGCACTCACACACACACACACAAACGGTCATTCTAACACATGCACACATGCAGTCACAGATGCATGTACACACATGCACTCAAACACACTTGCACACACGCACTTTCTCACAGAGACACATATGCATTCAGAGACACACACATGCAGACACACACACACACACACACACTGCTTCTGGCAGGCCTCAGGCAGGCAGCCTTGAGGGCAGGGGCCCCGTCCAGATGAGAGGTGAAGGTGAACTCTCAGAAATTGGAGCCTCTGGAGACCCAGGTCTCATGTCAGGCTCGCTTCTGAAGTAGCCAGAGGTGCCAGAGAGGGAGGACCCTGGGACATGGGCTGCACCTGAGAGGCCGGTCTGCAGGGTGATGCCTCACCTCTCAGCTCCCGTGCCGGTGGCACCTTCCACGCTCCCCACCCAGTGAGCACGCTGTGCAGGCTGGGCAGGAGGGCGCCCCTGTGGGACCGGGTCCTGTGCCTGAGAGGGAGGCCGCAGGCACCAGCGATGCCCTCCTGTCCCCAAGCACAGATGTAAGGCTCCAGGCCAAGGGGTCATCTAAGCCCAGGTTCCCATGAACAGCACCGTGATGGCACCGGAGACCAGCAGCAAGCTTGCCTGCCCGCCCTCGTCTGGGTGGGGGTGCTCCAGGCTGTGCTCCAGAGCCCACGCTCCCAGGCTCACACCTGGCCATGGCTCACAGCACCACGCCCTCCACCACTCATCCCTAACTGCCCTCCAAGCTCCAGACGCGAGTCCAGCTGCCGTCCCTCCTTAGATACATACAGGATGACTCAAGGTTTTACAGGGTTATGAAGGTGTAACTGACATACAACAACTGCACATACTTAAAGTGTTTCGGTCCACAAATGTTTTTGAGACCGGGTCTCACTATGTCGCCCAGGCTGGTCCGGAACTCCCAGACTCAAGCCCTGCTCTTGTCTCGGCCCCCCAAAGCGCTAGGATGACATGCATGGGGCAGTGAGCACAGCCCAGACCCTCACCATGTTCAAGGTCATGAGCATGTATCAGCATCCCAAAGCTGCCTTGTGCCCTTGGCAATGCCCCCGCCCCAGACAATCACCCGTTCGCGGCTGCTAAGTCAGGGTGCATCTTCCGGCAGCATGCACGCTTCTTCCTGGTTCCTCTCACTCAGCGCCACACTCACTTCACACCAAAATCCATTTCCTTCCCGTTGCTGGATGTTCAGGCTGTTTCCAGTCTGGGGCTGGACGTGAAGCTGCTATGGACGCCTGCTTGGGTCTCCCGGGGACGGACACTTTCACTCCTCTCGGGTGAAGGGCCGGATGGGAAGGGCAGTTGTATGGTGAGCTTCTCAAGTCCCACTCAGCTGTGTTCCAGTGTGGCTGTCTCTGTAAAAACCCCCAGCGGCGTGCCAGAGCCGCTGACAGGGCTTGGCTGTGTCCTCAGCCACCTCTCATCTTCAGCCGTGGCTCCCATGATTCCCACGTGTTGTGGGAGGGGCCTGGTGGGAGATACCTGAGTCCTGGGGACGGTTTCCCCCACGCTGTTCTCGTGAGTGATGAGTTCTTGTGGGTTTTCATCAGGGAAACCCCGTTTGCTTGGCTGCCATTCTCTCCTGCCCACCACCACGTAAGATGCGCCTTTCACCTTTGCCACGACTGTGAGGCCTCCCCAGCCACGTGGAACTGTGAGTCTGTTAAACCTCTTTTTCTTCATAAATTACCCAGTCTTGGGTATGTCCTTATCGGCAGCATGAGAATGGACTTGTATACCAGCAGGTAACAGGGTCAGTCTTTTTAATTTAAGACACGCCAGCAGATACGTGGTCCTATCTTGTGGCTTCTACATTTTTCTAGTGACTAATGATGCTGAGCTAATTAACTATCTGCATACCTCATTTAATGAAGCGTCTATTCAAATCACTGGTCCATTTTTAAATGGGATGTTTGTTTTCTTATTGTTGATTCTGGAGAATTCTTTGCATATTCTGGACACAGGTCCTTTATTAGATACAATTTGCAAATATTTTCTCCCTGTCTCCTGGCTTGGCTGTTCATTCTCTTAACAATGTCTTTCAAAGAGAAGTTTGTAATGTTGATAAAGTCCAATTTATCCATTTTTTTCTCTTATAGATTGAGATTTTAGTGTCTCATTGTCTAACCCAGTGTCACAGAGAACTCTTCCTACGTTGCTTCCAGAATTTCCATAGTTTTCAGTTTTCCATTTAGTTCCACGATCCATTGTGAACTAACATTTATACACCGTGCGATGTTCCTCCCCTTAACGCGTATGGGTACCCACATGTTCCAGCACCGTCTGTGGAAAAGATCGTAATCTTCCTCCATTGAACAGCACTTCATCTTCTATTTTAAAAAAGTTGTCTGTGTATGCGTGGGTCTGTTTCTGGACTCTGTTTGGTTCTTTGATCTGTTTGTCCACCTTATGCCAATACCACGTTGTCCTGATTAGTCTTGAAATCAGGTCGCATTGGTCCTCTAATTTTATTCTTTCTCAGATATATTGTGGCTGTTCAAAATTCACACAGAGGAGACGGTGCCCAGAGGGGACCCGGGCACCTGCCCCAGACAGGGGAGACGGCGCCCAGAGGGGACCCGGGCACCTGCCCCAGACAGGGGAGACGGCGCCCAGAGGGGACCCGGGCACCTGCCCCAGACAGGGGAGACGGCGCCCAGAGGGGACCCCAGACAGGTGCCAGGCCAGGCGCGGCCGAGGGCAGTACCTGGGTGAGGAGCTGCGTGGGCGTCAGCTGGTTGATCCAACGTGTGTATCGTTCAGTGGAGTCGGGGGGATCTCTCCTCACTTGGCAACCGACGATCTGTGAAAAACAACAAACAGAGCTCAGCAGAGTCCTGTACGCAGGAGTGTGCGCACCCGTGTGCTCGTCTTTGGAGCTTCAGGCACACAGGTCCAGACAGGAAACTGAAGCACGGTGAGTCTGGGTCAGGTCAGGCAAACCCGGGAGTCAGGGGCGAGGAGGAGGGGGGACGCCTGTCCTTGCTGGGGACAGGAGAGCGACGGTGGGCGCTGAGGCCCTGGGCGTGTCTCGGCAGAGGACATTTCCTCTTACTGAGCTCAAATCACATGGCCTGTACGCCGTCCTTTCCAAGAACTCACGTCTTGAGTCGCACCCAAAGTGGATGTGAGAAAACCGCCGCCCTGGCCGCAGGCAGCCCAACTGAGCCAGCTCTGTTCCGCTCAGGAAAGCAGCATACCTAAGTGGAGAAGCGCCCTGACCCCACCCTGCTTCCCCCAGGCCAACACCCTCTCCCTGAGCCACCAGGGCAGCTCCCCCCATCCAGGAACGTCCTGCTAGTGCCCTTGACCACCCCTCCGCCGTCCCTAGCAGAGCATCAGAACATCACCTGCCTCAGCCTTTCTCAGCCCTCCCCCGCACCCCACCCCACCCAGTCCCCTCCTGCCCAACCTCTGCCCCAGAGTGGGATCCCAGCACTCAGCCCTGGCTCTGTTCAGCTCCCGAGATCCAGAGGTGGGGGGGCAGGTCCTCCAGGGCTCACACTCACCTTGCAGCAGGAGGAGCTGGCTGGAGAGAGGGTGCCTGGGCATATCCGCAGGCAACAGAGCCCACCCCAAGTGAGGGCCCAGGACCAGCAGAGCCACCCGAGGGGATGATCTCACAGCACAGGGCTCAGGCCACACGTCCCAGAGGATGGGGCCGATTCCACCTCACCCAAGACCAATAAGGAGACAACAGT